GTAGGCCTCTAGGCCTCTTGGTAGCCTCTCTGACCAGCTTCCTCCTGGCTCTTTCGATGTCCTGATTCAGGGAGGGTCTGCAAATACCATAATACCATCCACTTCTTAATAATAGACTTCACTGTGCTTCTAGGCATTGATAAAGTCTTTGAATTGTTTTTGTAACCACCTCTTGACTTGTGCCTGTTCACAACTTTATTCCAGAGATTTATCCCAGAGATCTTTTGACAGTGTCTTGCCACCCATAGTTGATTGTTTGCTTCAGGTGCACTACCAAGGACTGAAATGCTCCAGGAAAGCTCTTTTTTATGCTTGTCATGGTACTGGAGTGTGATGAGGCGAGGACTCAAATGCAGTAGAATAATGGGTCTTTTTAATAATAAAATGAAACAAAACAAACACAAACTCCCCCGAGGGGGAAAAAAAGGCGTGAAGGCCAGAACAGGGCATAGCAGGTAGAGCTGGCCCAATACCAGAAACACACAGACACATCTGACTACATACGACAACGAAGAAGCACAGGACTGCAAGCACAAGGAGAATAAATAGGGAGACAAACAAGGAGGGTAATGAGGGAGACACAGGTAGAGTAACTTAAACAATAATGAGGTGACAAGATGGGAGGGGACAGACAATAAGACAGGAGAGAGCACATGGCACCAAACAAACACAACACAGGCCATGTGCTCACAAAAATCAACAGGAGTGCCCTCTGGTGGCCATCTTGGGCACTCCAGCTGCAGACCGTGACATAACCTCTCCCCTTAAGGAGCGGATTCCAGACGCTCCACCAAATGTCAAAGGAATCCAGGAGGGAGGCGGAATGGAGGTGGACTAGGGGGAGGGACAGTGTAGGGGAAGAGGACCTGGATCCTGAGGCGGATCATGGAACCAGGGTGGAACGTAAGCTGACCAGGGCGGAGCAGGTGGAAAAGAGAACCATCACTTGAGAGGAGCTGAAGTAAATGCCGCCACCTCAGGAGGTTCTACAGCAGAAGCCGCCACCTCGGGAGGAACTTCAGCAGTCCCTGAAGGCTCCTGGATTGAGCGGGCTCTGGAGTGGAGTCTGAAGGCTCCTGGACTGGAGCTGGCCCTTGAGTGGACACTGAAGGCTCCCAGACTGGAGCGGGTTCATGAGTGGACTCTGAATGCTCCCTGACTAGAGTGGGTTCTTGAATGGATTCTGAAGGCTCCTGGACTGGAGTGGGCTCCTGAACTGGAGCGTGTTCATGAGCGGACCCTTGAGGGCTCCCGGACTGGAGTGAATCTAGGAGTGAACTCATAAGCTTGAGTAGGCTCTGGAGTGGACTCTAAGGGCTCCCAGACTGGAGCAAGCTCTGGAGTGGACTCTGAGGGTTCCCGGACTGGAGCAGACTCTGGAGTAGACTATGAGGGCTCCCAGACTGGAGCGGATTCTGGGGTGAACGCTGAATGCTCCCGGACTGGAGCAGGCTCTGGAGTGGACTCTGAATGCTCCCATGCACACGGAACAGTCCAGAGGCCAAAGGCAAAGACCGCCTTCTTGACTTTGGCAGCAGCAGTGAAATTGGACGGCTCTGTGGTGACCTTTGAGACCACCAGAGTCCAGTCCTCCAGGACCACCGGACTTGGGTCTACAGGAGCCGGGCCCTCCAGGACCACTAGACTCGGGACAAGCGAAGTCGGGTCCTTGTGAAGTGGACCCGAGACCACCTTGTGAAGTGGTTCCGGACTGGCAGCTCTCCTCTGAAGAGGCTCTGGACTGGCGGCCATCTTGTGATGAGACTCGGAACAGGCAGCCATTTCAGGAAAAAGCCCCTCCTGTTCAGGAACTGACTGTCTCCCGTTGTGGGCTAGAAAGTCCACAAACACCCCAAAAGACTTGCTGATCGGCTCATCAAGGGCATAAGAAAACAAGTCCTTGAGAGCCGCATCATTATACTTCAGCCCCTCTGCAGCAGTCCTGAATTCCAAGGCGAATTCCTTCAGGTCAGTCCCCTGTTGCCGGAGGGAACTCAATGCTGATACGATACGAATTGGAGCATACGTTGGTAGAGGGGGCTGCTGACATTTGGCTTCTTCATTCTGTCATGGTACTGGAGAGTGATGAGGCGAGGACTCAAATGCAGGAGAATAATGGGTCTTTTTAATAATAAAATGAAACAAAACAAACACAAACTCCCCCGAGGGGGAAAAACAGGCGTGAAGGCCAGAACAGGGCATAGCAGGTAGAGCTGGCCCAATACCAGAAACACACAGATACATCTGACTACATACAACAATGAAGAAGCACAGGACTGCAAGCACAAGGAGAATAAATAGGGAGACAAACGAGGAGGGTAACAAGGGAGACACAGGTGGAGTAACTTAAACAATAATGAGGTGACGATGGGAGGGGACAGACAATAAGACAGGAGAGAGCACATGGCACCAAACAAACACAACACAAGCTATGTGCTCACAAAAATCCACAGGAGTGCCCTCTGGTGGCCATATTGGGCACTCCAGCTGCAGACCGTGACAATGCTAATCTAATCAAAATGACCACAGCTTATCACAGTTGAAAGTCAAATGGCTTTGTGTGCCATTGAGAAGGTGATTAGCTACACTTTACAAGTCATTTTTAGGAGGGGGTGATCCTTTTTCCAACTCAGTGATTCTGTTTTTTTATATATTTTTTCTGACATGTTGGTGTTATATCTTTCACTTGGATGTTAAAAGTTGCATATACTTAATGCTAAATAAGAGACAGGAGAATAAATGGTTCTTACCAAGTTTACAAGAGGTCCTCCTGAGTTTCCGTACTGTGAAAGAAAACATTGACATTCTATTCATGTACATGGACACAGACAGCTAAACTGTCTATATTGATAATAGTGTCTGTATGTAGAATGGTTACATTTATAATGGCATCTGTTTGAATATAATCCATATCAGAGTTCTGCAGGCCAAGTTCATGACCTCCTCGGTGGGTAGTGCTGATGATACCGGTGGTCACTGTGTTTTGAAGGGAAAACGGGCTTCCCACAGCTACTACAAACTCTCCTGGCCTCAGGTCTGAAGAACGACCAAGTAAAAGCACAGGCAGGGGAGTCTGTATAAGAGAGAGAGAGAAAGAGACAATGTATTTTATTTGTTCCTGTAAAACATATTTTGCCAGATTGACGATTTTTGTATACAAATGTGACTTGCTTTTTAAGTTGTTTCGACCAATAAAAACAGTTTTGTGCACAAATGAAAAAAATAGGCTATTTATATAATTAATGTTTCGACTCCAGACCCATGTCCAGATATAATCATTTAAATGGTGGCTGTCATAAAATCTTTTGAAGAAACAGTTCTAAACAATCTGCTGACTTTTGACAGAATTTTCTTCAGATTTATTTAAGCCAGTTATTGTTAACTAAAAATTATTAAACATTTTAAACAATATTACATATTTTTAGTAATTGAAATAAAATACTGAAATAAAATACTAAAAGTTAAACAGAAAAAACTATTAAAAATGACAAAAGCACATAACAAAATTACTAATATACAATAAAAACTAATTGAAAATATTAATATACTATAATAGTTTACATATTTATTACATTTGTAATAAACACCATATTTAATAAACACCATTTAACAATATAGACCTATTTATGATTTTATTTAAGTTTTTCCACAAACAACTCACTGCGTTCTCCGACTTAAAATGATACAGCCACAACAACTTGTTTTCCAGGGAAAATTGCTATATGTGCTGTCACCTTTTTAGAACAGTCTAATAAGTTTCCTTGAAATGTTTGAAGCCAGCAGCCAGTCTGGGCCTGAGCCTGCCCCTGCCTGCCTGTGCTCTGTAGTGTGCATTTTTATGACTTCAGTCTGATGCTTCAGGCTTGATTACTGGGGCTTCCTGAGCAGGACGTCTTTACACTCTGTCCCAACCTTGACTCTGCAGGCTACTGCTGGGGGCCTGAGCACTGCAAAATAACAGATTGCCATCTGCCTCCCCAGCACTTTCCCCCCACTTTCTCCTGCTTTCTGAAACCACAGGCTGGCTGGCATACACAGTATGGGACTGAATTAAAGTGATTACAAATCATTGTGCTACATGCTGTTGTTATGGTCTGGGTTATGGCGAGGCGTTATTGGTGTTAGTAGAGGAAGCTCTATGCTGCTGATCAAAGCTTGTCTTTACAGATGGTTTTAAGAGTTAGTTGGTTCTAAATCAGTCTGAAAGGTCTTTTTTTTACTTTTTGGATGGTTTTGTATTTCTGTCAGGAGATATTTCAGGGTCCTCTGCTGGTCCTGTTTACAAAGGCAGGTTTTAGTGGCAAATATATGTTATCTTGCATGGTCACAAGCGCACAGCGAAAATAGGCGGAAAGTTGGAATTTGTAAGAATGAGACAAATTTTCTCCTGAGAAAATCAGAAAACAAATGAACCATATCATGAAGCAGAATCTAATTTTTGGTGGCACAAGCCCTTGCTGACTCCAGAAACATCTGCTGGACTGCCTCCCCAAGATTAATTTACTTCCAGAAGCTGTGATGCTAGTCGCTGATGATAAACTAGTGGACCTGAGTCATAAAATGCAAAGACAACATTTTTTACAAAGCAACAAAAGGTATTTTGACCACTTAAGACCTCTGGAGGCTAGTTTTTGCCATTGGTTAAATAATTTATCCATGTCACCTGATCAGATTTTGGATATCTTGGCCTACTTACCTCTGAGTCGATTTTAATGAGAGCAATGTCTAATTTTTGATCCACATCTTTGATTGTAGCATCGTAGAGCATGCCATTTTTCAGCTCCACTTTGATATGTTGCTTATTGGACAGTACATGTGCATTGGTGATGATCCACCCATCCTCTGACACTATAAACCCTGAACCACTGGACACAGGGATGTCTTGGTTGGAAAATGGAAGTCTGGAAGGAAACATCGGGGAAATAGTCCCTTGGTGTATGAGTGTATAAGAAAAAATTCACTAAATTTTTTGCAGCAAATTCCAACTTCTTGTCTGTATTAAAATACCACTAAATATTTTTTAAATACACTGCTGTTCAAAAGTTTGGAGTAAGTAAGATTTCTTTAAAGAATCCTAAAAAATTACGATAACATTAAACAGCACAACTATTTTTAATAATAAAATAATAAGAAATGTTTCTTGAGCACCAAATTAGCATATTAGAATTGTAGCATATTAGAAAAGTGACACACAATACTGGAGTAGCAGCTGCTGAAAATTCAGTTTTGCCATCACATGAATAAATTACAATAATTAAAATATATTAAAACTGAAAACAGTTATTTTAATAATATTTTTTACAATATTACTGTTTTACTGTATTTTTGATCAAATAAATGCAGCCTTAGTGAGCATAAGAGACTTCTTTCAGAAACATAAAAAAATCTTACAGACCCCAAACCTTTGAGTTAACATCCTTTTAAATTGTGTTATGAAATGTAACAACTGTTTAATGTAATTGTTTAGTGGTGTTGACTTTATGCATATTTTCTCACATAGTTATATACTAATGTTTAATTTATGCAAAATGCAGTAACAATTATCGTAACAAAGTAACAAATAGCAGTGTTTATATATTTCTTCTACTCTCATTTTTGAACCCGTCTAAACAATCAAGCAAAAACTATTATATCGTCATAATTTAATCACATATGGAGAGTTCATTCTGCGGCAGCTAAGAATACCAAGCATAATAACCAGCATGTCACTCTGTGCTCAGCATCTAAACAACCAACACCATCTGTCCTTACCTAGTAAACAGTTCTAGATGGACCACTGCAGGGGCAATCTTATCCACCACATCTGCTATGAAGTTAAATTTGTAGCGCATGCTGCTTGGATTTCGAGAGCCTGTCAGAACAAAGAGAACAGACAAAAGCGGCACAAATTACATAAAGTAATACTTGTCTGTTTTTAAATAGAGCCCAAGCCAAAAACATCTGCATAAAACAGAGCTTGACAACTCTGCAAGACTAAAATCTAAAATGCATTATCAATGCCACAAAGTTGCTCTTCAACATGTTGCACATCAACAATAGTACCGTGTGGGCACAAGCTATGAGTAAAGCAAACAGCCCCGTGGAGCTCCTTCCTTCACCCTGTTACCTGAAGGCACTGAGGGAGAACTTGTCACACAGTCTCTGCATAAATTGATGTTACATGCTTATCTCCAAGTCTGTGGCAGCTGACAGCAGCTGTGCTCCTCTGAGAGAAAGTCAGGGTCCCGACATTACATGTTCAGGTAAGGTTTCACTGGGGTGAACCAAAAAATATATAAATATCTATAGTAAGAAATGAGAAATCATGACAATAAACCACAGATGCAAACACCATAAAAACCTGTCCTAATAAATTGAGACATCATTGTTTAAATCATCTTCTCGCTTACTTTTCTGCCAAAGAAACCAGCACAGAATCAGCTGATGCTATGATTATGCAAACTTGTACTGAACGTGGATACAAAGCAACAGATAAAGGTTACGTAATCCACATGTTACCGCTTGTTACCACTTAACAAAATCATAGTTCCCTAGACTATGTTCGCATACTGAGTCCACTTTCAGAGCTGAATTGCTTGTGACATTGTGTTGTCCAGCCCTTTGGGGACCCCTGAATTTGGCAAGGCATAGCTGACAGAACATGCCACATGGTTTTCAGTTAAAAACACGAATTGCATATTGCTTAAATGTCATATATAATTATGCTCAAGTTGTGTCTCGTCATTCCTACACCTCTTTATGAACAGACAACATGCTGGAACGCAGCTCTTCTGAGTTTTGGGTCTTCAGGAGAGGCATTAAGGGAGGAGCTCAAAATGTACCTCTCTCTGTGCCTGTTAGTCCAATAACTCATATCAGATCATCACAGTGAAGCGATAATGATAAATGCAATCTAATGTTCTTGACCAAAACTTACTTTAGTCCTCTCATAAGCAAGAAGCTATGGGAACATTAATCCCTTGCACTGCATAATATTACAAAATCACAGTGCAAACGGACCTTCAAAAAATACATATATATATAAATACATACATTGTGCAGTCCTCTTTTCCAAAATAATTTGAAAACTGATTGTATAATACCACTGCATACATGCAAATGATTATGATATGGCTGTGCTTGTTTCATCATTCTGTGCTACCTGAAAGTTTATGAACAGTGTTTGGCTCTATCCTGAAAAAAAGTTTGGCATGTTCACTTAACTCCTGCTGACATCTAAACAACTGCACTGTAAATGAGCGCAGAGAGATGTGTCCTACAGCAGCAACCAACTCCTGCCTCTGATCTTGTGTTTACAGCAGCATTTCACTTTGCCTCCCTGTTGCTCTGCCGATAGCGTGTGTGAATTGTGCTGACTCCAGATTTGATGTGGATGTTTTATATTTCAATAGAATTTTACACATGAATACTGACAGTCTCCAGAGAAAACTCGCCAGTAACCTGTCTATTAATACCTGAGAGATACAGGTATGATCTTACACTATGAAAAATGTGACCCTGGACCACAAAACCAGTCATAAGGGTCAATTTTCTGAAACTGAGATTTATACATCATCTGAAAGCTTTCCATTGATGTATGGTTTGTTAGGATATAGGACAATATTTGGCCGAGATACAACTATTTGAAAATCTGGAATCTGAGGGTACAAAAAAAATCTAAATACTGAGAAAATCGCCTTTAAAGTTGTCCAAATGAAGTTCTTAGCAATGCATATTACTCATCAAAAATTAAGTTTTGATATATTTACGGTAGGAAATTTACAAAATATTTTCATGGAACGTGATCTTTACTTAATATCCTAATGATTTTTGGCATAAAAGAAAAATCGATAGTTTTGACCCATACAATGTTTTTTTGGTTATTGCTAAAATTATACCCCAGTGACTTAAGACTGGTTTTGTGGTCCAGGGTCACAAATATATTGTCACATAGCCTAAAGTGTTCTTCCTGGGTAACCTGACTGAATACATTTGAGTCATATGTGAGTTGCTCTCAGTGTCAATAATGATGTACTGACTTCATACACGTTACTTATTCATAAATCTGGCAGCCAACCTATTTCACTCTGTCTTGTACAAATCCACAGTATTTTAGATGGAATACTCATAATTCATAAGCCTGTTAGAAAGACTGCAAATAAGCCTTGGGTCAATTTTCTAACTAGAACTTTTTTCTATAATTAGAAGTCACAAACTAACTGAAAGAAAGTTTTTTTTATGGTTCAGATTTCTTGGATTTGGTGTAGTTTTCTTAGAACCATTAAAGTGCAAGGATAGTATGTGAGCAGGATAAGTTAGCAGGGTGTCTGTATGGCATGTTGAACTTAGCTTTATTGCATGGCAAAAAAAAGTGTTACCTTGCCAGAGCCCACTGATCTAATGGCGTTGTTGAGCGCTCCAAATGCAAACTTTGCATGCAACAATCAGGCAGCAATTGACAGCACTCTGATCTAGTGGCATACAGGCATCGTCAGATTGACAGTACTCTAGCCCAATAATGTTGGGGGATCCAGTGTGGGCGGCAGTCATATTTGAGGGTGACCGTGCCACTCTTTATCACAACCCTGCTAAAAGTGCCAGTACGTGCGCTCATTGGCGACCCTTCAGCTGGTGGTGCCCTAGGCGACCGCCTAGCTCGCCTATGCCTAGAAACTATTGCAGATATTCATAGTCAGAAATGTCCAAAAACTACACGTGTTTCCACAGTAGGAAGAAAGTCATGCAGGTTTGAATCGACCTGAAGGAGAGTAAATGATAACATAATTTTAATTTTTGGATGGATCCCTTAAACTAGCTAAGACAAGTCAACAAGCTTTGGCTGTTGTTTACCGCAGAGTAATCATGCTATTTTTTCACTTCATTGATATAATTTATATTTTGTAGTGGTTTGCACTCCTGTAATAGAATTAAAACATGCATATGAAGCATCAAAATCTCTGTTCACATTTGGCTTTGCTTATTGCACAATGTTAGAGATTGAGAGAAAAGAACACACCCTCAACAGTGTCATGGCAGCACTCCTCCTGTGTGTCTCTTTGTGTTGCCATTGCACCAATAGGGGGCAGTGGTGATCTGTGCTGTCTTAGAGATGAGAACAATGGTAATAGAGGTGCCTTGCTCAGTGTTTCATATCTGCACACACCTACAGTATGTTAATAGCATAGACTGGTGCCATGCTGTTGATTTTACCTTGTTCTTTATCACCTTGTTTTAGTGGTCCCCAGAGGACCAATCTGATGCCTTAAGCGTCAACATGAAACTTATAGTTGAACAAATGCCATTATTGCTATACTGGTTCCCTAAGGTATTCACATGATGCTTGTTACATGATATTGTAGGAAAGAAGGGTATGGAGATGAGAGTAGGTGCATGGCCGTGGAGTGTGGTGGGAAGCAAGGAGAACTCTTTGTGCACTTTGCATCAGCTGTCAAGAGAGACATGATGAGAAACAAGCTGAGTCATGTACTTTATTTACTAAGAGTGCTGATTCAATCTATATGTCCCAGAAAAAAAAGAGGTGTCTTCCAGATATTGTTTTGAAAAATTTTGTTATAGAAATTGTGGGATCGGACGAAGTAACATGTTAGTGATGCAATTTTTTAAAGTGGATACAGATGTTTCCATTTATAGGACTTGGTAAGTTTGGAGAGATCATTGACAGTATTAGGTTTTATTGCATGTTCGACTGTCATGGTTCAATTGACTCATCTTTTTCCTAGCAACAATGATCTTAAGCTGCTTGACAACACTTGAAATGCCGTTGAAAGGACAAGGATGTCCCACTTTCCCTGTGCAATATCAATGGAACCTGAGAATTAGCCACAAAGGCCAGTCTTTGTGAAGAAACATCAGCCTAAATCCCAAATAGTGCCTTCCTCTGTGATTTAACCAATTATTATTTAGCACCCTTGAAATGAATGATGACATTCACCTTTAAGGAGATGATTTAAAACTCTCGAAAATGCAATATTTTTTATTTTTTATACTCTGTGAAGAAGTGCAGCTCTGTCTAATTGCTTTGCATTTCATTGTGTACTTGATGAATATGGATGAGGATGTAAGCAGGATTCAAGACTAAGGGTACAAGTTGTAACATCGAACCATCTGCAAAGGGAACACAAATCTGGCATGACAGAATGTTGCTTTATCATGATTTGCCAGCTTATGTCCCTGTGTGTGTGATGGATCTGTTGTGACACTCTGCTTTTTTTTTTTTCCAGTCTGACCCTTCAGTAGAGGGTTTCCCACAAATTCCCAGATCTCAGCCTTTGGATAGGATCTGGCGAATGTCTTTAGAATTTGAAGAATAGCCATTTAGAGGGTTGCATTTTTGTGTGTGTTCTTCACACTAAGAAAAAAAATGGTTCTTTTAAAACTGTTCACTGAGATATTCTTTGAGGAACCAAAAATGGTTCTTCTATGGCATTGCTGTGAAAATTGCCTTTGGAACCTTTATTTTTAAGAGTGTTCCATTGCACTAAAGGTTCTTTAAGTAGAAAAGGTTTTTTAGAACATTAAAATGTTCTTCATACTAAGATTTTTTTTTTAAAGAACTGTTCACTGAAATGAAAAAAAAAAGATTTAAAAATTAAATAATAATAATTATTAATGATGATGGTAACCATTTATAAAAGGATTTAAAATAAATAGTAAAATAAATAAGGTAAAATAATATCACCCAAGTGCTGTTCTCATAGCAGTGTTAGTGTGTTCAAGCATGTAAAATTGGCCAGCATAACAGGTATGTGTGGACAGCTGGGCTCTGGCTCCTGTTAGATAAAGAAATGCCCACCCAACTCCCATTTAAAACAAATCATCCGCCATTATAGGCCGAGAGGGTCCTCATAAAGACTCTTTTCACTGATGAATATCTTTGCCCTTAGAAACCGCTTCCAACACATTCATAATTCAGTTTGAACAATTCTGACCTTACAAAGTACTTTGTGGTTCACCTTCCTTGGAGTGATGACACAAGACAACAATAGACCTAGAACAGTAAGTCTATCATGCTAATGGAAGTGCACACTCACAGGGATTATATTTGGCTTCAGCACTCTGTGCTAATATGCGAACGGCGACAGTCACTTGCGCATATTCATGAATAAGTCTGATTGCTGGCATGTCAGTGAAAAACAGAGGTGGGGGAGCAAAGATGACACTTTCATAGCGTTGACAGATGGGAAGTGATTTGGAGTTGGTGGCTCAATCAGGATAGGTTAATTAGACTG